ACATCATCATGGACTCTATAACTAGTTATACCTAGTATTATACATAGAATAGTGCTCTTTGTACAGAGACGTATACTATATAGTTATCGCTCATTTTAGGTTCCAGCTTGTTGATATTATATCCTCCTCCATTTTTCGTAATCTGGTCCTGGTGTAAGTGGGGGTTAGTTGGGGTACTATACGGCTAAGGGTGCTACGGCTGATGGTATGGGTGATGGTACGACCACGACTACGGTGGGGGAAGCGGGCCGGGGGGACGGGGTGCAGGGCGCGGAGCTGCGGGCGTTTTTACAGGCTAGGTTGCCCGAGTACATGGTGCCGGACACGTTTGTGCTGCTGGATGCGATGCCGCTGCTGCCGAATGGGAAGCTGAACCGGCGGGCATTGTTGGAGACGGAGGAGGGGGTGTTGCAGGAGAGTGGGGGTGGGTATGAGGCGCCGGCGAGCGAGACGGAGAGGACGCTGGCGGGGGTCTGGGGAGTGGTGGTGAATATGCCGGTGGCAAGGATTGGGCGGCAGACGCACTTTTTCGAGATTGGAGGGCATTCGTTGTCGGCTATGCGCGTGCTGGCGCGGATTAAGGATGTGTTTCGGGTTGAGTTGGGGTTGTCAGAGCTGTTTGCGGCGCCAAGGTTGGAGGCTATCGCCGCGGTGGTTGATGCTAAGCTTGGGAACCGGACGTCGTCTGGGGAGGTGCCCTCGGCGACGGGGGCTCCGAGACCGACCCAAGGGTTTGGGCTGCTTCATGACAAAGTGGCGCTGGTCACGGGCGGCAGCCGCGGCATCGGGCTTTCCACCGCGTTATTACTCGCCGAGCAAGGGGCCAAGGTGGCCATCAACTACCGGGACAGCAAGGCACAGGCGTTGGGCGTCAAGGAGATGATCGAGGCCGACGGCGGGACGGCAGAGGTCTTCGGGGCGGACGTGACATGCGCCGAGGAGGTCGCCGCCATGGTAGCGGCCGTGTACAGCCGGTTCGGGCACATCGATGTGCTCGTAGTCAACGCACACATTCACTTCCGACACCGGCCCTTCTTAGAATACGAGTGGGCAGACCTCGAGCAAAAAGTCTCGGACGAGCTCAAAGCCGTCTTCCACCCGTGCCGGGCCGTGGCGCCCGACATGGTGCGGCGCGGGGGCGGCAGCATCATCGCGCTGTCGAGCACACTGTCCAAGCGCAGCAACGCGGGCTTCCTCGCGCAGAGCACGGCCAAGGCGGCCGTCGACGCCTTTGTGCGCTCGCTCGCGGCCGAGCTGGGCCCGCACGGCGTCCGCGCCAACACGGTCGCGCCTGGCGTCACCCTCACCGACGCGGCGCTATCCATGGCGCCCCACGTCAAGGAGTCCGTCGCGGCCATCTGCCCGCTACGCCGGAATGGCCTGCCCGAGGACATGGCCGGCGCCGTGCTGTTTCTGGCGAGTGACCTGTCCCGGTTCATGACAGGGGTTTATTTGCCTGTTGACGGAGGATTCACCACGCTGTAGTGTTGTGGAGGGTGCCTAGCTTATCGAAGACCGCCGTCATGTTTCCATTCGATGCTACCCGTGGAGATTCTGTGCCACAAGGGGTCAATAGCAGGTGCTGGAGAAAGAAGTTTGGAGGTCGGTTCCACCGTCGCTTTCAAGACTATTAAGGAGGCACCATATGATTGCTTTGCCGCCAAGAAGCATTCGTTATATTTCAGGGGTGTTAGAGGAACTTTGCCACGGTTTAGGTTGCGGTTGTTTATTCCCGGGCCCAAGGCCCTGTAGTTGGGTAGCATCATTGGGGCGGCTAGTCAAATAGCGTTCTTGACCAAACCTATGGGATAATACCTACATAGTTAGCCGTTTGCCGAGGATTCGGATTGTGGCACGGAGTTAAACTTGGCGGAGGTGGAGATGTAATATTACCCCATGGTGGCCCAGCAACTGGACTCTCGGGACCGACACGGCGCCAGGATTCTTGTTGGTGTTCCCAGCACCAAGGAGACCCAGTGGTTTGGTGGCAACCAAACACGTTGCACATGCATGCCCCAGCAAAGTGGGTGACAAAAAAACAGGTCCATTGACCCAGTCACCCCATGCTAAATACAGCTAGCGCCCCGCTCTTGCTACAAAATATTGCATCACATCAACACCAGCGTTCAGGGGGTATGCCTTGTTTTCGACGGCAACTACGTCGTCAATCACAACGTTTGTAAATAGAATAAATGTGATACTATTGTTAGATAGGAAGCCCCATCTCTGTCTTCAACAACAATGGCAATGGCTCATCATAAGATAGAATTGGGATTGCAAATGACTTTGTTTTATGGTGTTGAGGCTGTTGCTTATGTTGGTGTGATGAGAGGGGAATTTTTTGTAGGATCAAATTGCATGGACCTGTTTTTTTATCACCCACTTGCCCAGATATGAGGCGCTGGGTGCCTCGAGGTGTACGCTTGGTTTGTCTGGGTCGACTGGGACTGGAAGGTTAGTTACAGGGTTGAAGCCGTCAAGGTCGTCGCCTGTTATGTCAAACTTTCCCAAGCTTCCCACTCTCATGCGCCGAGCTATTGCCGCCTTTGCTTCAATGCCACACGTCTGTTCATACCTTCATCCTCGCCCAAAACGCGATGTCGACGGCCCATTTACCCATCCCCGAAGCCAACTTGAACTCTCGGGCAAGTCAAGTGAAAAGATACCCGAAGGCACCTATTTAAATTCAAAACTCGAAACCGTCTCATCGTTGATGCGACCTTTTGGGCAGCGGCCAGTGGCACATGCGGGTTGTGCCGCTGAGAGCCGTCATCGACTCATCAACGTCAAACACGTCCGGGTCGCTTATCGACCGCTTATCAAAGCATTGCATGGTGCCCTCGAAAAGGTTAACTAAGGATCTCGCCATAGTGGGACTCTGGGAGATGGGAATGGCGGCCATGCTGCTCCTGAGCCCCGAGTAGTGTCCACCTCGACGTCGATGAACGTCCGGCGGTCTAGGGGAAATAACGTGATGAGGCGGGTCGCAAAGTGAGACAACCCACCATGTGAGCAGCGCTTAGGGCTCGGCACCTGCCTGATTCTGTGCCAAGGGGCGAGCGATGCGACCGGGCCCCTGCAACTCAAGGCGAAGCGGACGCGGACGCGAATCGTCGTGCCTCTCGGGCGTGCCTTTCTGTGCATCGGAGTATGGGGATGCCGGGGCGCCGGGGTGACGGGCGCTCCGTGGCTAGTGCATGCGCTGCGGCAATGCATGGGGCTACTGTAGGTCGTGGAGACACCGCAAGTCGTGATGGGCTGATGGGCCGGAACCTGCAGCAGGCCGCTCGCTGTCAAGGGCATCATTTGGAATTGTGTGGGCTCCAGTCCCCTGTGTGTCTCCATGCCCACTGGCTGTGCCCACTTCCCCAGGAGTGAGCACGGCCAGAAAGCAGAAACCTCCTGCAGGGCGACCCTCACGGAGATGTCCGAAGCAATGCTACGTGTGCAGCAGCAGAGTACGAACTGAGAAACTCTTTCCCTGCTCAATATCTGCAGATGCGCGATATCCTGACGGTTCTAAGCCCCCCTTCCTCTCTTGCGTCAGGCGAGCAACCCTCCCAATCACAGGGCCGACCGGACGTCTGTTCAAGATTGGCCCCGTCTGGTTTCTCGTGTCCAGCCCAACATCGACATTGAATGACTGGGAAAGCCGAAGCGAGGCCGTGCAACGGCAGGGTTCGGGGGGTTATCTCGGAAACTGGAATTCGAGGTTTTGAACATCACCTGGCCGCCGATCGACATGGCACCATCCATCCATCGTGCCCCCACAACGGGCTTTAATGTCTCGGCATTCATTCGAGTCCCACTTGCGCTCGCCTTGGTGTTCCACTCGACCCCCGGGTCACTGGCTCACACTCGCAGCCATGCAGCCCAACAAACTTCCCGAGACTGCGGGCGGGGTAGGGCGGCCCGCCGTCAGCTTTGTGTGTGCAGGACACACAGCTGGAGGAGTTTTCTTTTTTTGGCAGGGTAGGGTGTCTGGTAGGTGTCCTCCCATTCCAAGAGCGAATTCGGAGATAAAAGATCTCGGGTATACCGGTTCCCGTGAGATCCATGATCCACTGTGGCCATTTTGCCCTTTTGGGAACGCAATTTTGCCCAGTGTTGAGAGTGTGACGTTACTTTCAGCGGGTGCTCCTCCTCCCTCGATAGTTAGCTTGAGGCGCGAGCTAATGAAATGGAAGAGGCAGTGGATGTTAATTATTCGTCTTTGTCAAGGAGTTTGGCACAGCTGGCTTGAAAATGACTCGCGCGTGAAACCAGCGCACGTGCAGTCGCAGTGACGTTTTATTCCAGGGGGTCCTTGGGAACTGGGGAAACAGATGCAGGCTGCAAGGCCAGGTGAGCCAGACTGCCGATGGATGGCTCGCCGATCATAAAATTGATGTCTTGATTGTAAAAAAGAAGGCGAAATGCAAAAGCTCCGAGGGCCCACCTAGACGATTGACTCCTGCTCACGAGATATTAAACCATCTGAGGTTGGACGAGATCAAGCCAAACGCAAAGGTTAAAGCTTCACTCGCTAGGGACCTGGCTGTCATCATGGAAGCGGCGCCGCCTCGGGGAAATTTGGAATAAACTTGACCGGCTCGGGACCGGAACTGTTCGGGGAAAGAGTGCTCCAAAAGTCTTGACCTTGCGATTGGTCGATGCCGGGCTGTTCCGGCAGCCTGGTCCTGCTTTCTTTTTTTTAAGTTCTTTCCCTGTGGCACAGCACCATAGCGCGTATCCAACCCGGGGGCCCCTGCGACCGTTCCCCCACCTGCCCGTCAAGGTTAAGGGCTCACCACTTTACTGTGGTACTCAGTGCAAGATCTCATGTTTCCCCACCTGCCCACCTTCCAGGTTCTGCTGCTCCTTTCGCATGCAGGAACCACAGGCCAGGCAACCATTCAGCAACCCCACCAGCGCCTGGCGGATAAACATTCATTACCTGAAATCGTTTCCCTCTTTCCACTTCGTCCCAACCTGGAACCTACTTCTGCGGCGAAGGCGTCAAACCCCAAACCACCCCCATCTTGGCGCGTCTTGCACCCCATGCACCACCGCCCTGATCGAAGGTCCACCGCCGCGCACACTTGCTCATTCTCATTCATGCCTTGCGATACAATATCGTAAATACGTACACCGTAGCTATGCGAGGCCCCCGATGTGTCCTGTGTAAAGCAAGGCTGTTCGAGGCTTGCCTGTTTGCCAAGATAAAGGGGCAGATCGGTGATCGATCGGGTTTGGTGCGCACTGGACACCGTTGCGGGCGACGCTCCGGCCCAGCACGCGAGAGAGTGATTGGCCGTGACAAAACAGAAAGCGAGGGCAGCTTGCGAGCTGCCCGCATGGGGATCTGCCACCTCGGGGACATGGTTTTGCAGCGCACCGGCTGGTGTACATAGTGGCACAGGGGCAGGGCCGGTTGCCAAGGACATTCTGCAACTCTCACCCAAGTCACCACGAGGGCGGGATCTCCATCCGCGACCTCCCCTCGACCGCTAGTCACTTGGTAGGCACAGACGTAACCCCAGTTTCATCTCGGCCTAACGGGGACCTTCTCGGGCAGCAAAGACTTGGAAGTCGGAAGGCGACGAAAGAGTGGGAGTTTGCGCCTCGCGGTAAACAAGGCCCAGCGGTGACGAGTTTCAGAAGCCACAGCGGCACAGAAAGGTTGTTTTTAAGGGTCAAACAGGTCATCGAGGCGAGAAGGAATCAATGCTACTCACAACTTCAGATGCAGTTTAGTAGATATTCGTAGATGTACCAAGATGATCATCCACCACTACCCCATCGTTACCCAACATCAGCACATCGGCGGCACATCTCTGATCCTACCTTTCCCTCGACCGCCGAGCCTTCTGTTTTTAACTACAGACACCCACAAGGGTGCCCCAAACCCTGACTCTAGTAGGTTGCGTCCAGGGCCTAGCGAGTGGAGTGGACACACCAGACCTGGGCCCCCCTCCTGCACGGCAAATCCCGGTCCTAGAGGATGAAGAAGGTACAAAACCGTTAGCCCAGGACAGCAGATCAAGAACCACTTCCAAGCTTTAACTCGACGTGCCGGCTGTAACATCCAATTCGTACCGAAGCCCCCATCCACCAAGGGAAGTCTGGAGACGCCATCATAGCCTTCACGATGGACATCATGGACTCGCCGCCGCGCGCACAATGTCTCGACCCCGTGCTGCCTCCCATGCCGCGCCGGCAATCGTGCGACCGTTGCCACGAACAAAAGGTCCGCTGCGTTACAGAAGGGGCGAATGGGGCCATGGCTCTCGGGGGCATCACGGAAGAGGGCGATTCGAACCCGGACGGACACGTTGTCGCACCGATTCCCTGTGGGCGGTGTCGTAAGGCGGGGACGGTTTGCGTCTACAGTCGTAAGTGCCCGGCTGTTCCTCCGACGGATACAAGGGGCCCGTGACAAGCTAACAGCAGCCGAAGCCCAGCTTCGATCCGGTCGCCCACGACGTCGACGAGATGCCAACGTCCCTCCGCCTCGCAAGCGCACGAGAAGGGCCTCGAGGTGTTCGTCGTCGTCCTCTTCATCACACGCATCTTTTCAACCATCACCGCCTTCATCATCCCATACATTCAATCATCCATTAGGCAACGTTGGCCTCGGTACTTTCGACCACTCCCAAGAATCCACCCACGAGCCTATCCCGCCTCGGACGGTGTCCTCTCCCGTTGCCGCTTCACCGGCTTGCGAACAATTCACTCATCACCACAACCTGGGTCTAGACACCCCACCGCCCACCGAGGACTGGCAAACACCGTCCTACCGCTGCGACAGCACCCAACCCCTGACAAACATGTGCCCATCGTCTTCGTTTCCGGCGGTACCGGATGTCGCATACGCGCCCCTTTTCCAAGACCCCGCTGCTAACCTGGTTCCGGCTGCCGAGGACATCGTTGGTGGCTATTCATGGGGCTTCCCTGCATCCTCGGACTATTTCCTCGAAGATCTAGCGCAGATCAACCTCCGCATCCACCTTGCGGGGCGCGCCCTACCCTCGCCAGCGGGGTCACCACCGCCATGGACGTGGCCCGCAGCCAACGACAGCTTCGACGCCGCCTGCTCGCTGATCGACGCCGTCGACCGCTTCGCCGCCCGGCGGCCAATCCCAGCGTTCCCAGAGCCCTCATCCAACCCACAAACAAACAGCGGCACCATCAACGCCGCGCTAGACTCGTCGGCGTGTCTGATGGTGCACGCATCGCACCAAGCCCTGCTGGGCGTGTTCGAGCACCTGTCAACCGCGCTGCTGCTCCACCTAAGTGCCGAGCAGCACCAACACACCCCACCGCGCACCCCACCAGACGCGGCATTCCTCCCTCCCGGCAACACCCAAGCCCTGATCATGACCAACCTCATCAGCCACCTTCTCAACCAACTCGACCGCGCCTTCCTATCACTCTCAACCTCAACCCCTTCACATCCACACCCCCAACACCACCACCACAACCACAACCACAACCACAACCACAACCACCACCAACCCCCACACCAACACCCGGGCCACAAACCAAACCCAAACATCCTCCGCTCCATGGCCATCCCCACGGGGCTACCGCCCCCCGAAACAGACACCACCATCAGCAGCACCTGGCACGGGAGCGGCGCGCCCGCAGACACACTGTTCAACGAGATGGCGCTGAGGCAGAGGAAAGTTAGGGGGCAAGTCAAGGCTGTGGAGCGGTTGTTGGGGCGGGACTCGGCGGGGAGGGGGCATGAGGTGTAGTGTAGTGTAGGGTGGTTCATATTGGGACCAGATTCGGGATGGGGTCAATGGGTCTGTTGGGTTGGGTTCATGTTGGGGCTGGGTCATTGGGTTGGGTTGGGGTGGCATGCAATAGTATTAATTATAATGATATGGGTGGTCGGAATTGCGGCTGGACCTTTTCATGTTTGGATATTTTTGTGTTTGGCGGGTGTTGTAGTGTTGTAGTGTTGTAGTGTTGTAGTGTTGTAGTGTTGTAGTGTTGTAGTGTTGTAGTGTTGTAGTGTTGTAGTGTTGTAGTGTTGTAGTGTTGTAGTGTTGTAGTGTTGTAGTGTTGTTGTGTTGTTGTTGTTGTTGCTGCTGCTGCTGGAAATGTGGCCGGCGAGCATGTCATGTCGGCTATTTCTTGTTTAAGCTCGTGAGGTGGTTACCAAACACTATTATGTTGAGAGCGGAGCAGTGATGAAGCTTCAAACAGTTTTGAAAAAAAAAAAAAAAAAAAGTTTGGTTACTTGTACAGTCTGCGTTTCTTTAAAGCCCCCGGTTCGTACCGTCTGCGTTTGTTGAAAGCCCCCGTACCCTCGTTCCCCCAGTGCCCGCTAGATAGGTATGTAACCATCAAGAGGCCCCAGCACGATCGTTCAATTAGTTTGTGATACGTAATCACAGGTCGGTCCGGAGGTGTGCTGGTTAGTCCTGCCGGGACTCGAACCCGGAAGCTGAGCAACGACAGTTCTTATGAGTTGGACTCGAACCAACTCGCCCAGGTTGTTGAATTACTGGATCGTATAAAGGAATTAAGACCCCGGAACAGGTATTGGGTGGGTTCACGTGCTCAGGTGGGACACTGGCTTTGATCCGATGTCTATGGTAAGTACCTACACAGTGTCCTGTCACAGTATCCAAGGTAGGCACACAACAGAGAAGGCTAACGACGGGCGGCTGCGGCTTGACACTTGGCTATGGATGAAGTATGTGATCACCGTGGCCGAGACCATGTTAATATGTCTTATGGATAATTCTCACAGTTACAGATTATTCGGGGCCATGATCTCCTAGGATGTAATGTTGCTGGTATAGATTAACCTCGGATCTCAAACCTGGTCCTCGCCTGATGTGACGAACCTACTTCAGGACCCTGTCCTGTTAGGGTTCAGCTTCGGTTGAAGGTAATCTCTCAAGGGTGCTTAGGTTCGGTGCAGCCAAAAGGTACACAACAAAGGCTTGTCTCAACAGTAGGCTTCCGAGCTTGTAGCGAACTGTAGTTGTGATTGCTAACTGGAAAACTCCCAGAGCTCTCCAGGACGAGTGACTATATACTAGCTGATTCCTAAGTGCTCAGTGTGCTCAGTATGCCCTTGGCAACTGGGCTCACTGATCAATGTTGAGCCATCCCGGCTCCCGATTGGTGGTCCTGTCCTGGTGCTCAGTGTGCTCAGTCTGTCCTTGGCAACTGAGCTCACTGATCACCTTGACTACTCCTTGGCCTCCTGATTGGTTGCTAATGATTGGCTCGGGGCGTCCCGCGCCCCCCCCCCTCTCCCCCCCGGGTCCTCCTGTTGGCATATTCGTGGACACCTGGACCAAAGATACTACTATTAACAATGGGCCTGGATGTAGCAACATGAAGACCAACAATAGACTATCCACCTTAACTTGGGGAATCGTTCCCTTATCAAAAGTACAATAATATGTATAGTTACAGCTTTATCCAAAGCTGGACAATCCGCATCGCCCCATTCCACAATCCCGTTTCCCCTTCTTGGCCTTCACGCCTCTCGGTTGCTTAGAGACCCAATTAAGCGCCCTCAATTTGGAACCATATCCGTGTCCAGGTCGTCAAAAGAATCCCCTTCTCCTTCGTCGTCGTTAAAGCTGTGCCTAGCGAATGCCTCGACTAGGGAGGGGACATCAACCTCAATGCTAAGGAGTCGCATACTTTCGACGACCTGATCGTAAGTTAACTGGAAGACATTGTCGGCGTGTGTAATTACCCCTTCCATCTCCTCTCGAGCCGGGATAGCACTCGCCGGGTTGGCAAGGGCGCCGCCGTCCGAATATCCCCCGTTGCCGCTGCTGGTGTCCATATCCCTCGTAGCTCCCGGGCCCCTTTCGTCCTCGTCGTCCACGTCCATCGAGACGTCCCCCATCATGATTTCCTTCTTGGTGTGAAGGCCGGGGTCGCCGCGGATCATCCATCTCAAGAAAGGGGCGTCCCTACCCCACGACAAAGCGTTGGTCGCGTTGAAGGCGTCGATCACCTTTGCCAGGAGCGAATGCTGCGAAATATCAAATGGATATTGCGGGGCACGGTGCCAGTTCATGCGAGCGGCGCGCAGAATCATGAACAAGCTTGTCAAGAGGCTTTTCGAGATATGCTGGGCCCAGGGCTCGACGGAGGGGTGCTGTCGCAGGGAATTGAAGAGGATGTCGGAGTTGAAAGCGGCCTGTTGTTGCTCGTTGAGATTTCCCCACCACCTGAAGTGTTGCTGCTGCACTTCGGTCGCGGCTTCAAACATCTGAGCGAAGCGTTCGTTGAGCAGCGCCTTCGACAGGTGGTGGAAAGCCCTTCGCATCGCCACCCCGACCGCCCGGTCGCGTCGTTCACGCATTAGGAGGTAACGATCGCAAAAATAGACCATACCCGGCTTGGGCATCAAAAGCCGGATCCGAACCTTGTGCCTTTTCCTCCGCCCGGAGCTTGGGTCGCGCGGAGGGTCGGTCTTCGAAAGTTCAACCCGTGAAGGGGTGACGACGACGGCGGCGGTGGCCCGGCGATTTTGATGTTTTCGCGCCCGCCCAGCACCTTGATCCCTCTTGGTAAGTCGGCCATTACCACGTGCAGCTGCCATATTCAGAACTGCGGTCGACGGAAAACGCGTTGAGGCGGGGGACCGGTCGCTTTGAGGAGCCGGCTGAGGATGGGACGTAGTCGGAAAAGAATGGGTATCCTAGTGCTAGGTACAGGTTTGGATGTAGGAAAAGGAGATGCTCAGATGTGGGTGCAAGAGAATGCGGGCGCGATTTCCAAGATGCTGGAATAGAACAACCGTTACTGGGCCTAGGCGGGAACAAACAATGGAAAGAAAGCACAGGTTTGCTGTTCAATAGATTGTGGATGGGTGTGAACTCAATCTTGGTTTTGCTGGAACAACCCTCCATATCATATCAAACCAAGTGAATCAAAAAGCGGATTAGCTTTTCTCCAGCTTGTTTATTCCACATCCTTTAAAAGGGTTCTCTGGCACCTAAACTCATGATTCTGCCTTGACTGGCTTTAAGTTCCTTTCTCAACGTGACTCGCGACTCTTTGCATTTATGCAAAACTGCACGTCCTTAGGCAAATTACCTGATCTTTGTTCACCGGTCAAGGTACCTTACATCGGAAAACTTCATCATGGGCATTGACCGCGACACCAGACCGGCGGACAAGAAGTTCCACAAGTTTCGTAGGGATGATCAGTTGCGCAGGTACTTAACAAGTCGCCAGCAGTCACATATAGCACGAGTCATCAACGGCCATCCAGGCGGCGGTCGACCTCGTCTCCGTGCCATCCTCCCCACAGTTGGGCTGATATGGCCTTTCAAAGCTTTCATGGTGGGTGACTCTGACGAGAAAGTCACCACTGCCCTCAGGAAGATCACTCCTCACTTGTCGGAGGAGAGAGTGGAGAACTGCTTCTCCCAAATGTTTCTGGAGGCGACCAAGGAGATATCAAGACCAACTCATCCCCCTAACGGCAAGGTCGACTTCATCGTATTTATCAGAATACTGCAGGGAATCAATATGTCCAGCGCTGGGCCAAAGGTCTCAGCCAGTACGCGTTTGAAATTATGTTCCTTGTCCTCCACGCGGCGCGTGTAAACTGGTTCCTCGGCCCTGAACTGCCCGCGGATCTCCACCGTCGGCCTTGCAAGCTCGCCCGGGCGATCGACGCGTTCGTTAGAGTCGATAAAGTCGCCTGGAACCATCCGTATGTTCGGGACCATTTTAAGCGACTGCGCAAACGCGGAGGCCAGATCCGCGAATACGAGGGTAGGTATCCCGTGGACGTGGTGATGCCAGAGTGCCCGGTGGCCCAGGCCGGCCCACCACGAGTGCCTACGGGCCGAGTCAACAGAGACAACGACGTTGACATGATGGCGGATGGTATCCGAGATCTCGCCATAGAACAATCGTATAAGGAGGGAACGGGGGGCGGGGGATCGGCCGATGGTGATGTGATTTGCGGGGGAATGGCCGATCGTGATGTGATTACCTACATGTAGGTAAGAAAGAAAAGTTAGGCACCTATAGTTATTGGTTCTTCACCAATAACTCATCCTTGTAAGGAAGGACGCGGTCATAATAACCCCAGGCTTTATACAAGTGCCTATAGTCGCCTATGGCAACCCACGGCCAAATAATACAATTTGTAAACAGCACGAAGGATTGTTGCAGCTGGACCGAGCTCCCCCTTATCCGTGTCTCTCCCTTCATCCCCCCTGGCCTCTCTCGTTTGCCTGTAACTGATACTTCCGTGCCTAGTCAAACAAGACCTCGGACAGCCGGTTTTTGGCTTCCTCCTGATCCCATTCCACAATAACTCTGTCCTTAGATTCCCTCATCTTTCTCTCCACGAACGGCTCCAGCGCTGCCATCTCCCGCTTTGTCAACAAATCCACTCTTGTCTTCCACAAATCCTCTTTTAGAACATCGCCCGCCCGCTGACCAAAGAACCTCTCATCCAAAAACTTCCAAAACACCATGTCAAACGCCCAACTTTTCCTCGCCCCATAGCTCAGCCAGAACCGGCCCGTCTCCCAACTCTCCCGCATATACCTCGACAAGGAAACCGGCAACGCCCCCGGCCCGTCCACCCCGCCACCCGGCACCCTCCTCTCCGCCCGCTCCATCGCCGCAAACCACGTCCCAAGCCGCCCCTCATACACCCGCAACCAGTCATCCACACCACCCGACCACGTCTTAGCTAGCTTAAGCAGCAGCCACCAGGGCGGGTCCAGCGCGAACTGGGTCGGCGCCACGTAGGCAAACTCCCAATCGATCACCGTCATCAGCTCATCCGCCTCGTCGAGCAGCATATTCCCCGCCCGGAAATCATCCCCCCACATCCGAAACGCCCCATCTCCCGCTGGTGCGGGGGCAAGTTCCTCCCTCCCCCTCCCGTTCCCTCCATCTCCACCACCAGCTGCCTCCACACTGCTGCTCCTGCGCAACCTTGCTTGCGCAGACCAGTCATCCTCGGCGAACCCAAAACACGACAACCGCCCCTGGCGCGCCAGCTGGCGGAATAAAAGGCGCGCGACGAGCTTGTTGCGGCAGTCGTCGGCCGATGTGACGGCGTCGTTGTGCTGGAATACTAGCTGCGCCAGGTGCATCTCGGCTAGCGCGGTGTACCAGGCGTCGGCGGTGGGGTAGGTTGTGTTTGGGGGTGGGAGGGCGGCGTGCGGGATGTTGGCGAGCCGGATCATGTCCGTCATGTTGTGGGTCAGCGGTCGGCCGGTGATTTCGTATGAGGTTCTGTCGTTGTTGTTGTTGTTCTTGTTGTTGTTTGGGTCTTCGGCTTTGGCTCCGCTCTCGGCCTTGACCTCAACTAAGCCGCCGATTCGCGGGAACGTGAGGCGGGAAAGTTGTAGAAGACATTCGGCGGCCTTGCCCCACAGATGCGCAAGCGTGGCTTCTGCGATGTCGGAGTTGAGGATGTGGCCCACGCTCTGGTCGTCGTTGGGGGGGGTTAGTCGAGCTGCCATGCTCCCGCAGGCTTCGACACGCTCGAGTATCACAAATGATCCGAGAGTGGGGTCATTGCCGGAGAAGAAGTGACGGGGGATGGGAATCTGAGTGTTTTCTGCAATGTATTTTGCTGTCGCGGCCACCTGGATCGTCTTTTTGACTGGGAACTGGACTAGGTTGGGACATGGAAGTCGGACCATGACATCGGGGCTTTGCAAGACACCCTCCAGATGGACTCTGTAAAGGACATTGAAGCCGCCGACGACCAAAGGCAATACAAGAGTTGCTGGGACGTCAAACTGCTCTTTGGCAAGGCGCTCAACCTCCCGGCAAGTGGTTTTGAGACGCATCCATTTCAGTGTCTTCATCGTTCTTGTCCCAGATAAGATTGTCGAGCTCCTCTTGCCGGTCGTACATTGTTTTGTCCCGGTGCTGTGTGCTGCGTGGACAGAATTATTCTTGTCCAGGGGCGTGGCGTACGAATTAATAGGCACCTCTTTTTAGCGGTCCGTCGCAGGGTTGGATAAGGTACGATTGAGCCACGGAGGTTGACAATGCAAGAGGATTGACTCAGACCGGACACAGCGCGATGGTTTGTGCTCTCGGCCAAGAGCTAACCACAAACTGTGAGCAGTGCGGCAGAGTGGCTGTGTTTTTGGGATTCCAATTCGCTCAGCACTCGGGACCGTATCATTTTGCCGTCATTATTTCGTACCGCTCTCGTTTTGGATACCGCTGATACCAATAGGGTGCGGCAAGTGTTATCCAGGATTAAGGAGCTGGGTTACACACTCTGTGCATCTTGCTGGCCAGGTAACAGAACGGCCCCATATTTGTCTTTGACAGCACCCTTCAAAACTCGAAAGGGGACTGAGAAAAGAGATAGAGTATAGAAAATTAGGAGGTAGAGAAAGCCCAGGAAAGTAAATCGAATAGAAGCAACAGAGTCAAATAAAAAGTTGGCTTTCGGAATCTGAATGGCTGTATTTTTTTTCCTTGAGTCCAAGGTTCCGGCGGCACATTAACTTGGAGTTCGGTTTTCTTTTGACCAGAGAGTTCATGGGCAACTCGTACAGCGGCTCGGAACCCACTCGCACTCGCGAACTCACATACCCACTTATACCTACGGCCTTGGTGTCTACAATACAAGTAGCTAAGGTAGGTACCTCGGCAGGTAGTTAGGCAAGCAGAGCCCGTATCCGAAGACGGAGCCCAAGTCAGTTCAGGGCTAGAGACAACCACAGGGCAGTAAGTTGACGGCCGAAGGCTGTGGACACGGGCGAGGGCTGGTTGCCTTATCTGGTGGTTGGCGAAGGCGGTGCTCGGCCGGGTTGGGTGGATGGATAGTGGTTAATTAGAAGGGTGGTGGCTTTGCTTCACACTTCTTGGGGCTTACGAGGCTTTAGTAGCTGTGCCACACTAACCAGCTTTTTAAAACTTCAATTCCTAACTCTCTTCCACATGCATTCCACCTAACAGGTACGCACCAGGCAACCGATCAAACCCCCCTCCCTCGACATTCACTTAGTCTTGGTCACCCCCGCCGCAACCGCCGCCACCGCCGTCACCGCGGCCAACCCACCCTTAACCTTGACCCTGGCCTGGTTCTTGGACGCCCTCATCGCCTCCTCATACAACTGCTCGTACGGGACCTGGGCACGCGTGGGCATGACAATCTTGCCGCCCTCGGCGGCCTTGACCCTCGCCTCCGCCTCCCTGGTCATCTCCCTACGAGTCCTTAGCGCAGTTTCGTAATCCCCGGCCTTGGTCTGGTCCTTCTTGGCCTTGGCGTCGGCCAGCTTCTCCTTCAACTCGTCCATGATCTTGGCGTTCCTCTGCAGCAGGATCTTGTCCTTGAACACGGCGACGTCGACCGTGGCGGGCACGGTCTTGTGGCGGATGCTGGCGCGCGGGATCTTCTCCTCGGCCTTGGCCGCCGTGGCCATCAGGCTGCCGAGCAGGAAGGTCTTGATGGTGCTGGCGAGCTGGCTCGGGTTGATGCCGCCCAGCTTCTCCGGGTTGAGCTCGCCCGGCTTGTCAGCCTCCCGGCCGAAGACGCGGTGCGGGTGGCCCGAGACCGCGGGGCGGTTGTAGTCGGGCAGGTGGCCCTCGTGGCCGAGGATGCCCATGGCGCGCATGAAGTCGTCGCCGACCGCGCCGACCGCCGCGCAGCCGTCGTAGGCGATGACCTTGATCTTGGGCGCGGCGTCGGCGAAGGACAGGTCCGTCCCTTGGAGCGCCTTGAACTCCTTCGACTCTTTGCCGTACCCGAGCCGCGTGTTCAGGTACCAGTCGGTGTTGAGGAAGTCCATGAAGGGCCAGTTAAAGGGGTCCCTGCGGAACGGTTGGATTAGTATGGGCGCATCTTGAAAAGTGATGCTGGCGGAGGACGAGGGGAGAGGAATTATGGATGCGAGTGCTACATACCAGTAAAACTTGAATTCTTGACGCATCCACAGCCACTCCAAGTGGGCGCCGATGGGGCCGTACTTGAAGAGCTGCTTCATGAAGGTCCCTGGAAGGCGGGCGGCCTTGGCGGCCTCGCGGGACCATGCATCGGACGGGAGCTTGTGGGCCGCGATGTGGTTGGTGTAGTTGGCCGCTTGCGAAGGATGGAACTTGTTGTTTGCCATGTCTTTCACCGGCGTCAAGGACACCTTCACCTGGGGCGGGCTGTTGCCGCGAGGAGCAATCTTGCCCTTCTGCCGGAGATCTCCAGACTGTGGCGCCTGCTGTACCTTGACTTCGTAGCCTCCTTGGGAGACAAACTTGCTGAAGTTATTAGCCTTGAAGTCCGCGGTCTTGTCCTGCTTGTCAAAAAACTCCCCGATGTCTTGGAGAGTCGAGAGCATGAGAGCGGTAACGTTGGGCTTGGACCTGAGAACCTGCGGGATAAGTTCCGCTCCAGTAACAAAGGGCTCGTTGTTCCATGGCGCCTGGTCGAAAGTGGTGTTCTTAAGGCCGTAGAAGAGGTCGGCGCCGTGGCTCTTTGCGTCTTCGACACCGCTGGTACCCACCGCGACGGGAATATGCCCCAGGCCGACGAGGTGAAGGACGGTCCGCAGGAATCTCGCGCGCTTCGCGGCCGGCTGATGGTTGGCAACAAAGCCGACGAGCTCGACGACACCCATACGATGCATTTCCGCGAGGAAGATGACGGCCAACAGGTCGTCATAGTCCTGCTCAACATCCGTAAAAACAAACACGCGGGGCTTGTCCTCTGGCTTGCGGGTCTCGAGCATCTTGACGAGCTTTAGGTAGGTCTGGCGGTGCTCGCGATGCGCCTCAACATCCTCTTTGAAAGGAATGAACGGGCGTTTCGGTGTGCCATGCACCAGATTGGGGAGTGGATGTTAACTTGGCTTGTACCGCAGCTTCCGAGCCCCGGTCGACTGTGCGCCACCTTGCGATGCTGAGGCGTTGCGGGTATTCGTGGAGGTAGAGGAGTTGCTAGGAGTGGAAACTTGTTTGGCAGCCGCCTGCCTTGATGCACGCTGTGGGTTAGGAGCGGCCGAGGCATTGGTCTGGCGAGAGGTCCTGTTGCCCTGTCCCGTGCCGGTTTGTCCCGAAGACATGTTGGTGGTGAGGTTGGTGAGGTTGAAAAGCTTGGATGGAAGCTGGCTGATACGATTTGGTGTCCGGCACCGATATACGAACGCAGCAGAAAGGCTATGGGAAGATAGAGAAGATGAGGTGAGAATGAGTTGTTTTGTCTATTGATGGGAGTCAAAGCCGTCGTATTAAATGCTACGATGCCCGAAGAACTGGTTAAGTAGGGTGGCCTCAACTGGCAGACCTTACGGTCAGGTAACCGCCCCATGATGACCCAGCCAACTCCCCATGATGATCCGGGCAGTGGCGAGGCACTCAGCGGAAGGAAAGCAGGCCAACAACAAGGACTAGCGAGGTCGAAGGAGGCGCACATGGCGCCTTGTGAAACCGTTGGAAGAACAGGAAGACGGTAGCGATGGTGTGATTTGTATGACCGGTATGGCCATCCGGATCCGTAGGGCCATCTAGGCTGACGTGACGAAGGGACATATGCATCCTGAGGTAGTGATCAAGGGGGTGTAACGCGGAAAATACTAGTACTGGGCAAGGGGGGAAATCGTGGGATACACCCTTGGATGTGAGAAAATGGTAGTTCGCGTATGAAGCATGCCTGGGGCTCGAATAGTGGCTACATGAGACGAAACTCTGGCCGATGACGAACTGGCCCGGCCATTAGTGGCTGGGCTAGGGAAAACGGGTCGCTTGCTTTGGCCAAAGAGCAGGCATACCTTTACTTTGGCGTTAAGGACTAAGCGAAGCCATGATTTATGAAACTGGTGGGGACAGCTGTGAGCACACAAAAACTTGAAAGTTAGCTGAGCATCCAACTTGTTCCAAAAGATCCCAATGTGGAACTACACAAAGCCGGAAGGCGAGCGGCACAGCAACCCGAAGAGCGCCAGGTTTTGCCTGATGCAGCCCCGGGCCGTGATGCATACATGTATCCCTATCAGGTGCCTGCACATGGTTATGCCAGACCAGTCTCGTTTCAAAACTTAAAGGTTGGCATCAAAATCGGGGGGCGGCGCAGCGTATTTCGACGACACCCATCATTTCACGGACTGGCAGATTTTCCCTTCCAGTACATCTCGGTAGGCAGAGCTTGTTTGGGTGCTGACGCTTGAATTTGTGAAATCATGAAATGCTGACAGGGCACCACGCCAAGATCAGCAGCCACGAAGGAGCGGCGACGCTGCCTCCGCCTGTCTTTGCGATTATTCAGATCGCGTTTCCATCGGACCCGCTGGTACGCGAGAAACGCCGTGGGGGCCAACAACCGCAGGCAGTATCCTCTAGTACATACAACGCCCTTCCAGTCCTCTAAAACTACCGTACCTAATAAGTGTTTAGCGGCTGCGGTAACGAACGGCTATCATAGAAATATACTAGGCCTTAGGTGAACGGCATACTGCACATAACGCATGGCTACGATGGCATGATGAAGTGAAGCAAACCGGTGCCAGTCTTCTTTATACCGGAATAATTATTTATGACCAAATAGAACTGTCCTACCGTAGCGTGGCGTGGTAGGGCGCATGATCTTGATCTGACAGGGCCCAACCAGGCCGGAAGCAGCCGCCAGATCAAACTAAACACAACAAAAGTACCAACAAACGGCATGGCAAGGGACAGACCAGCCAGGCCAGCTTGAACTAAGAATAGCGCATGCGAAATGCTATTAAATCTTCTCTATGCCGAACCGAGGAATCTCTCGCCATTACATTTCACCATCATCTCGTGACTCGTGGAAATGATTATCCGGACTCGGGGCCGGGGCTCCTGGTCAGGCGAGAATGCTGCACTCAACACCATACCCCCCACTGCATAATGGGCACTTAATATGGCATGCTGCCGTGCGCCAAGACGGCGCTTCAGCAAGCCAAGGAAGTCACCTCGGCCCCGAAATGCTTTGCGGGATACGCATGCTGCCCGGGCCATGGGTTCGGGCCGCATGGTAGTTGATTAAGTGGCTTGCTTGGCCGCTTGTATCATATGCATGGCACTTCTGCCAACAAATGGACATACCGTCCGCAGATTGCACCCAATCAACCGTTGGATAATCATCCTTTTATAGGCCACCGCCGTCCCGGTGTAGCAGATCCGCGGCCGGCCCGACCTCGCGGTTGAGAACGTAACGTTCGGCATGCCATGTAGAATAATTTGGATGTTTTGCCGCTTCCGCAGCCACCAAAGCGTTGGTTGTGATGGCATAATGCTAAAAAAGATCTTGTTGGTGGCCAAGGCGCGGCCACCCAGCGCCTTGAACCGCCGCATTCACAAGTTCGTGTGTTGGCCGGTCAAGATCGATATAGAATGACGGGAAGTGCGGTCGGACTCAATCGGCCTTGATGTCCTCATGTGTTTCAACAAGGCCCTCCGAGCCAGCAACACCTCTTTGGACGACACCTGCGCACTCTGGTTTAGGCAATCCAAATAACCCAAACCCGGCGTCGGGTTCCGTGACGTCAAAGCAAATATACGCGCCCTTCCCATGACGATGCCGCGCATGATATCGCGTGGACGGATGACGTTGGTATGTGCCGCTTTGAAGGTCCTCTCGACGCGGGCCTCGAATCTCACGCGGGAGCCGTCAACCGCGCGGCACAGGGCGTTTTGTGCGATGGTTTGGCCCTTTCCGTCAGCCATGTTTCAGCTTTTCAAAGCAAAGTGAGCTGTTCATCATGTGAGTGATTGGGACTCGTGCGGTGTGGCTGAGGGGCGGGGGCACAGGGCGGTGCGGCTTCACTCTGAGGCGGTGGTCCGAAGACCGATGCCCGAGTTCAGGGCTGCCGCGGGCCCGGGAGATCCGACGTGCGGCACCTTCATGACCGTGTGACGATGTGACTCCCGCGGGCATGTTTGGTTGAGTAATCGCTGGATTTGTTGATGTTTAAACCGGGGCGAGGTCCTGGTCGCAAATCTATGAACCCGGCTGCTAATCATGATGACGTGGTGTTTACTTGGTCCGAATTGTGAAATGCACTGGGGTTCGGACCTGTTGTGGATCGACTGTCAGCGCTCCGGACGGCAGGCAAAGGCAATGAAAAAACGAATGGAAGGAACCAACAAGCGAAGGGGAGAGCGAGCTGCAAATCAGGGCTGAGGGCTGTGTGGCCCAAGCACCACAATGGTGGGTACCTGTCCGCCGTCGATAAGCGCTGAGGATTTTCTTATCGCCCGCCTTGGATCCGCTTCACCATACCTTTTAAAGGCTGCCTGACGGTCATTGAAATCCGGTCCCTAGGCAACTACTGCCTACTTGGGTGACTTCTTACCGACGTCCTCGAGTCATCAAGAATTTTGTGGCTATGGTTGATCCAAGCTCTCCACTGCGTATACCCACCAATAATGGGTCAAGCTAACTCCCACGTCCCTCAGATGCTTTCCCCAAAGGCCAAAGGCCCAGGCTCTCAGATACAGGCAGGCGAAGCCACCGTTTGACATTTAGGTATCCTTGGCGCGAGCTGGCTGGCCAAGGCCAGCGTCTTTAGGACGCCCCATAAGCTGGCTGTTGGGTTGGCGGGAATATCACGGAAAGCATTGAGGAGCAACAATGGCCTCGGCCGCGACAAAGACAATATCCTTCTATTCCTTAGCCCCGCTAGTAATCGGAATCCTCCGTATACCCACGACACCGACACCAACACGTGGCATGTCCAGCCCATACCCATCCGCCCGAAGGCCAAGCCCGGCAGTCATACCCCCAGGTGAGGTAGGTACCTACCTAGCCAGCTAGCCAACACCTACCGAAACTGGTCCACCCCCAACTCGCCCTTCATCTCCATGCGCAACAACCCGCCCTCCACAATCTCCCTCTCCCTCTCCACCAAATCATCCACGCTCCACTGCGCCGCCACGGCGCGCCCGCTCAGAAACCTCGCCCTCTCACTCGCCAGCCACACCGCCACGCCCCCGACCAGCTCGGGCGTGTCCAGATCGAAGCGGCGGAACGACTCGTGCGTCATGTCGGTGTCGACCAGCCCCGGGTGCAGCGACACGGCCGTTATGTTGGGGTACGCGGCCGCGATGTGCGCGATCAGTTGCTGGCTGGCTAGCTTGCTCGTCGAGTAGCCGACCATGAAGGGGAGCACGAGCCAGGCGGCGGCTGTGGTCAGGTTGATGAGGGTTGCGGGGGTGGTGGGGGTGGGCAGGGAGGTGATGAAGGATTGGGCGAGCAGGAAGGTGCCTTTGGTGTTGACTTCCTGTTGGGGGGGAGGTTAGTGGTTTGTTTGATGGCTAACCTTGGACTTGTGTACGGGGGGTGGGGAACTGTGTAAGTGAAGGAGGGGCCACGCACAAAGTTGGACCACCACTCATCAATGTTCTGCTCGTGGATGACTCCGTTGGCGTTGCTGACGCCGGCGTTGTTGACGAGGATGTCGGCGTGGCCAAAGTTGGCTTTGACCTTGGCGAACAGGTTGGCCACAGACGCAGCGTCGGCCATGTTGGTTGCGACGGAAAGGAGTTGGACGCTGGGGTTGATGGCCTTGATCTCGGCCTCGACCGCGGCGAGCTTCTCGGCGTTGGTAGCTACGAGCACGATGGCTTTGGCACCCGCCTTGGCAAATGCCGGGGCGATTCCCTAGCGACCAAACCGTCAGTCAACCATCCATGGAGCCCAACTTCCTGCTGGCTCGGGATAGAAGTACCCTGGCTCCGATGCCGCGGCTGGCACCGGTGATGATGACAACCTTGCCAGCTAGTGAGAGTTCCGGCTTCGTGGGGTCAATGGAAGGGTAGACATCTTGGTAGACGTTCTTGGTGAACTGGAGGCTGTTTATTGTGCGTGTTTTAGTGCCGTTGCGGGTTGTGACTAGCGAGGGTTAGGGTCGTACCTTGTGACGAAGTGGTCTGTCGGGAGGTTCTCCATTGTCAGGGTGTTGAGTTCCTAACTTGGAATTGAAGTGTGAAGCTTGGACAGTGTGATGCGGATTGTTGTGCGGTCTATCTAGCACCATAAGTCGAGGAAATCACAGCTCCTTTTGTATATGAGAGAATAGGCTTTTATCTGACAAATTCGCTTCTTTGATTCCGAGGGTCAAGATCGATCATTGACACGGCTTGTAAGCAAGATATGCATCTCGATCAAAGTTACCGGATCGGGAAAAAGGTGGTTCAAGTGGGGACATGACAAGATGGAGCAAAATGCTTGGCTTCGTTATGAATGCCGCCGTTGATTGGCGAGCAAGCACAAAAATGGACCGAGCTCCTTGGGCGGAGCTGACAAACTCCAAGGCTGCAACTTGCCTCAGCTGGCTCATGAAACGGACTCCAGACCGAGTCGAATTGAACTCCCTTTCTCGTGCAATCGCCGTCGACTTCGGGATTTCGGCAGAACCTGGCCGCCAAAACAGCTCAGTTTGCGCTGATATGTCCATGACAAATTTGTTTTGACTAATATGCCCGCCGCGTCGAACCGCGATACTGCATGTGAACAGCAACAGTACATGTAACATACGGTCTACCTTACACATTTCACTCAACGAGTCAACAGTTGACCCCCAATGGGCATTGAATTTTAGATCTCGACTGCAACTAAAACAATTAAAGCGCCGAACATCCATGGGCCGACTCCCATTGAGCGGGTACTGCCTGACCTGCCGAAAGAGACGAGTCAAGTGTGGTAAGTACATGTACCTACCAAGTACCCGCAGGCGGTCAAGCTGGATAGATCAACGTCTACACTGCCCCGGCCATTGGTTACAAACAAACTAATAATAGATGTACCTGCAGACAAGGGTCGCCCTAACTGCGGCCGTTGCATTTCTTCTGGTCACACCTGCGGCGGCTACGAGCTCCCCTTGCGCGTGAAGGCGCTTGGTGTCCATGCAGAACACGACGGGACGCGGCGACTGGTGAAGATCTCAACGTCACAGCCTTCTACCAGTCGGACGCACTGGCCACTGGTACTAGTGCCGTCTCCCAACCTCGCATTACCCCTCCACCGCGACCATCAGCATACCTCCTCGCCGTACTTTTTTGCGAAATACAGCTGGGGCCCGTTGTGGCGGCCGCTCATTCTGTCTGTCACTACGAGCGAGTTCCCCGAGGTCAATAGAGTCTGTTTCCGTGCCATCACGTATGCATACACGGGTATTAGCCGCGGAGACACCGCCCTGACGGCCAGAGGGCGCGCCCTCTACGGCCAAGTCTTGCGCGAAGTTCAGTCTTTGCTGCTTGAAGGTTCCAAACTGCGACTTGCTGAGCTCTGCTCTACGATGGTACTGATGGATATGTATGAGGTAACTTTCAGCCCGGTCCGATTCGCACTCGAACCTCATGTTGCTAAACTGTTATTGTAGTATGCAATGCACAGAATGGCGGGATCCGCGCCTCCCCATCATGTCGGTATCGCCAACATTCTACGGCACTGCGGTCCAGAAATTTTTCAGGATGAAAAGCTCCTCGTCTTGTATCGATCGTGCCGGGTTTTGCTTGTAAGTCGAAGCGCTTAGGGCGCACAACGTACTGGAATCAAAACTAACCCCGTGCAAGATATGCCAAACTATTTGGCAGCAAAAGCGTTGCTTTCTTGAGGAGGAGCCTTGGAAGATAGTCCCATGGCAACAAGTACCAAAGACCTTCGAGGATCGTCTAATGGACATCATCGTCGATCTCCCCGGTCTAGCCGAAGCTGTGGCCGACCCACACAAACGAGCTGCTAGCCTGGACAAGATCCAGGTATTGTCCGTGGCGCTACAGGTTTGGCGCTGGGACTGGCACAGCGTCCACTCGGGTTCTGTACGTATGGTGCGGCACGCCGACAATCCCTCAGAGCCTGGCAATCCAGAGATGATTCCGTTTATGGTCAACCCACAAAAGGTGCCTTTCTTGGTCAGCCTGATACGGCAAGCCCACTTGGAATTCGAATCGCCGCGTTTGGCACTCGACATCCTCTACTACAACGCGGCTTTGCTTTACCTGATGCAGCTCGAGGCCGTTGCTCACGGCCAACCACCACAGCAACGTGAACACCTGTCGCTTGAAGATGAGAGATACGTGCGTCTTCAGGGCGCAGCGTTAATGGTCCGCGGCGCCAACCCGCTTCTTCTCCCGGGAAAGGCCAAGTTCCGCTGCCAGGCCGCGGCCGAGGCGTTCATGACGCTCTCTTGTACCACGCGGCTGCTTGGCACCACACCGACGGGGGAGACGGTGGTGACACCGATGGTCATTGGCATTATTTACTGGGTTCTGCGGGAGCAGCTGCAGCTGGGCGAGGACGGCTTGGCGTCGCTGCTTTCGAAACACGCCTTCTTTCACGACGCGGAGAGGGTGTTTGAGGGTTTCCATGTCACCGCCCGTTGACAGTCCTCGTCTTGGGGCCCAGCCTCCAGTTCGGTAGGAAGTAGGGAATAGGTACATGTACATGTACAAAACGGGGACTGTATAGAATCTAGGAAGCATGGACAATAAAGGGAAAAAAGAAACAGAAAAAGAAGAAGAAAAAAAGCGGAAAAGCAGGAGGAAAAAAAAACAAAATGAAAGAAGATAATTTCATGTTTGGTTTGGCAATCGAAGTTTAGGAGTACATCAACCAAAGGCGAAATTCCTTCGTACCCGGGTCGATGGGAATCACATGATTAACCCCTGCTGTGTGCGGCAAACGCCTTGTCGTCTTGGCGCGCGGGCGGGCGTGGCACACCACCGCTAATTTTTGCGGGCGTGCACCCAGGCGGTCAGAGTCGATTGATGGCGCCATCAAATGCTCACAACAGGCCGTAATTGAAGCAATTCGTATCGCTGTGTCGCTTGATCTTGATCGTAATGTCGCTGTATCTGTTTTTCTGAATGGAAGATAGCGGTTCCGCGCCCGCGCCCCTGAAATCTATACTCAAATGGCCTGGCCAACCCCTGAGATCTATCCCACAGCCAGCTTCGTCGTCCACTTCGTCGTACTATTCGATTCAGTATGCCCACCACAAGGCGCTCGAAACGTGCCCGGGCCGATACGAATGGCGATGCCGTTGATCCACTGTCTTCTGGCGTTGAAGCGGGTAGGGAGTCGACTGCCGTACCGACACGCAAAGCGACACGAATTACGCTCAGGAACCCCAACCCACAGACGACTATATCCAACCCGATCGACTTGACTGAATCGCAACCCATAGAGAGCCTCTCAAATGCGCGACCGAAACGGATACGCGTGTTAACGAAGAAGGCGTCGCCCATCAAGCCAGCCGCAAGGAGGCCCTCTACCGCAAGAAAGGCCGCAAAGAGACCCTCCCCCCCACGAAGAAGGCCGCGCCCACGAAGAAGACCCCCCGAATCGTTGTTCGAAATACGACCGAGATGCCGTCCGAGATACCAGAGTCGGAATACAATGTCGAAGAAGCAGAGCGGCCCGCGCGGGTACAACAGAGGCAACCGAAGCTTATTATCCGGGGCTCAAGCGTAATCTCAGAGTCGCAGTCTGGGATTGACGGCGTTATTGTTGATCCTTTCAACGGCGACGACGATGTTGACGACGATATTGTCTTTACTGGCGCCCAGTCGAAACCGCATAACCCGCCTCGGCCGACCACCAAAACGACAGCCCGATTACCACCAGCCCGACAGAGCGACTCCCCTCCCCCTCCCCCTCTACCGAAGTCGATCTTCGTCAAGATTCAACGCGATGTCAAATGGTTCCGCAGCCAGTATCTTTCGACGTTCAAAATCGCCCCGCCAGTGCCCTCGCGATATCTACGTCGACATGCAATTAAGGTCGAAGTAACAGATGTGGAGATAACCGAGCCGTTTGACGGACTCCATCTCGAACGTGCGGCCGAGCCCAGTTATATAACTTTGGTGGAAGATGTACGTCTCCTTGCGCGGAAGGCTGGATTGGAAGGCTCAGTCGCCCACACTGCTTGCGAAGTTCGTCTTAGTAAAGTAGCTGGTCCACGTAAACAGAGCGACATCGCGATGTTCAATATAGCGCCTCGGTCGCCTTCATCGATTAGCCGCATTGACTTTGACTCGCTTATGAGCCAGATGATAGAGGCTGGGGGTACTGAATTTGTGCTAACTTTGGAGTTCGAATTCGACCTTGAACCGCCCGTCAACAACGACGATCTCGTTGTCGCCGCTTCGCCCACGCCGATCCGGGGCTTCTCAACGCTAGTTCTACCCACCTCCCGACCTTCCCGGTCTCGACTCGGGCGCGCAGGCGCGCAGCTGCCCAGAGGCATATCCGCAACGCCGATATCTAATAGAGGCACCCCGAAGGCGCCCTCGACCCGCAAATCAACAAGCAATACGATGGCGGAAGAGATGTACAGGCGTTACGAAGCCGACATCGCCAAGAGCCGCACTGAAGAAGTCGTAAACACACGCCTCGTATTCAACGAGCTCCATTTTCGATGGAAATGCGACCTCGGTTCGAAGTGCAAGAACTTCCATAACGGCGCGCCAGCTACTTGGTGCTGGCGCGAACAAGGCGGTCAGAAGCATTACCCACTTACGAGTCAAGACATCCAAGTGTGGGCTACGGCGATACGAGATGGGAAGACTACGAAGGATAACCCGCCCGTCCAGTTCCATAGAAAATGGCGCGAAGTGGTGGAACAACAACAACAACAACAACAACAACAAGCCGTTGAGCAAAGCGGTATCCAGCCATGGCCCGTAACTGGGAGGATCCCGCGCGGCGCGCGCCATACAATGATGCCAACCTTCCACGTCAATATCAACAACAACAACACTGGCCCTGGCGACCCCCCGGGCACGACATGGGGGCCCAGTAACCCATCTTACCCGCCTCCCTCGACGGCCACTATCGCCGACCCACCACTACCGCAGTAGCAATTCAATCCCTCGATATCATCCTACCCGAGCCGTCGGGCCGTAATACTTGATATGCCGATACGATCTTCCTCGCCGCCGCCGGCGCCTCCAACAAGCAAGACGATGGCCGAACTGATCAACGAATTCGCCCGCCAATTCGCGCGTCGATATCTGATGGGCGCCCACAATGAACAACCGCGTGCGGCATTGAACGCTGTAAAGCACCGCTTGATTGAAGAAGGCCACAGTCTGGTGGCGTTGAAGGCGCTGCCAGAGACGTTTTTCCAGGAGTGTGGTCTACCGGGCTTCTGTCACGAATATGCCAGCGGATGGGACCGCGGGGCGCGGGACGCCCGGGCCAATCAGCAAAAGGACCAATCAGGAATCCGGGGCGGTGATTACAGTGATTAGGGTGATCAGGGTGATCAGGGTGATTAGGGTGACCAGTGAGCTCAGTACGCTAAGTCCAGGCTGAACAGACTGAGCACACTGAACACCGAGGCCTCACGCCAATCAGGATACGAGGAGAGTGCTTAGTAGGAATAAGAAGATCAGTGAGCTCAGTGTCCACTGATCTTCTCATCCGGACTGAGCACACTGAGCACTCAGGAATCAGACAAGTATATAGACACTCGTTCTGGAGAGCTCTGGGAGTTCTCCAGTTAGCAATCACAACTACAGTTCGCTACAAGCTCGGAAGCCTACTGTTGAGACAAGCCTTTGTTGTGCACCTTTTGGCTGCACCGAACCTAAGCACCCTTGAGAGATTACCTTCAACCGAAGCTGAACCCTAACAGGACAGGGTCCTGAAGTAGGTTCGTCACAATACTCTTCCTTTTCTTCCTTCACGGTCTTCGTTTTCTGCTTTTTTCTCCTACTTCGCGCGCTCGATGCGCTTCCTGACATCTGATCAAGATTTGCATCGTCAATCGCCTGTAGGAAGTCCAACACGCTGTCCAATTCCTTCTGTTTCTCTCCTCTCTCAAAGGTGGCTGCGCTAATTAAGCCTTTTCTGAAGCTCCTCGCTTGTTTGGTCCATTTGAAAATCGGGTGAAAGACACAGGGCTTCCCGGGAAACGGCTAGGACCAGGCGACAATAAATCCTTCGTTTAATGATTGGTTAGTTTCGCCTGGCATCGAGAGCTAGATGTATCACGTACAAAAGGACGGGTCTTCACTATATATCGAATGGTATCCATGTACCGGTTGGTGCTCCCTCGGCTTTGCTGATACATATGTCTGGATGGAAGTGGGGGAGCGAACAGGACCATCGGGCATCACTCTTCGCTTGCCCAACCAGTCATCAGACAGTGACATTTTGTCATGCGATGCTCGTCAACGTGCTTCGTCCATCCCGGATGCAGCATTTCCCGGACTACTGGTTTGTCTCAAGGATTCTTGGTGATATGTCACAATAGGACGTGCGGCTCTTCATCTTTACATGAATCATACCTACATAGGTACCCAGGCATTACATCTAATTGGTACATTCTAAAACATATTCTCACACTAGAAAGTAACAACAACCCCCCCCAACCCCGTCCTTCTTCTGCTTGCCGGCCAAACACAAGAAGAAATCTGCGTTGGCCTCCCGTCTCACGATCGTCATTCAGATATAAGATGCCCCACCCCCTCCGCCGGTGAGGAATATGCTGCATCGCACAGCGACAACCCAGACTGCCGCCAGATTTTTAGCGTCAGCTGCTTGATATCTTGTATAAGTATTTTCCGGACCCTGGACTCGTTTCAAACGGCGATAGTTGGGCGCTCGCCGGGCCTCTCCCACCACAATCTCTACCAACACCGCAGAGACACAAAACAAGGAAGCGCATCTCATCTTGTCACAACAGGCCCAGGAGGTGGAAGAGCCACTTGGGGGGGCC